GCAGCAACAACAAAATGAAGAAATAATATCATCATAGAAAGATGCCGATAAGGTGAAATATCCATGCAAAACCAGTACAAGGAGCGCATTCAAAGCTGATAAAATCACGGTTCTAATGGATGTGGTAGCTGGACACAGCGAACACTGCTGATTACTGATAGCGATAGGCTGCCAGGACATGCATGTCGGACTTCTTGTATGTATGTCACCTTCTGCCTTGGCACAGGCCCAAGGGAGGTTCAGCCCTATTCGACCCACGTTCGGCCCTGCTTACCGGTATGTACATACATGTAGCCAGTCCAGGGGAAGAGAAATTTTATCCATTACTACAGTATTAACTTCACATGGAGTGTTGCATACAAGCCTTGCTTGGTAGGGTGACAGCATATCACAACACATATGATTGAGAAACAGAGGGTACCAGGTTCAAGTCCTGCTTAGAAGCGGAAGGATTTCTTACAGCCGTGCTGCGACCCACAGTTAATTGGGAACTCGTGGCCTGGCGCGAGGAAAACATGGATGCAGTGAATGGGATTTTCGGTCTTTGACCACTTGCTGGTGAGCTGATCTACCCACCTCCCACCGCTTTAGGAGCTGCATCTGTGCCTTGATCCATAGAGGGTGGTGGCGTTTCTACGGATACGGAAAACTCCGCCTCTAGCCGAGTCTCACATGAACCGTGAAAAAAAATGCTAGGGAGTGGAGAATCACTATCATCCCATAATTATAAGATAGAGCTTATGCGATCGCACCATCAGTTGAGGCAAGAGTCCATAACCCAAGAGTATGCAACTGTGATAATGGGTGCATGCGTGGCGCGCTGCCTTCATTACGTAACTTGCCTTCATCACGCTCTGAAAGCATGCATTCAAACTCTCAATTTCTCGCACGAGCCCATCCGTTTTTGCTCGATTCGTTCCAGTACCTACACAATCTCTGAATTCTGGCGCGTGAACTCCAGTTCCGTACGAAAGTTCATTTCAAACTAGAGGGAAAGTGTGGTGTTTGATTTTCCGCAGTGCGCGGACTGCAGCTGAATGATGTAATGAAGGCAGCGCGCTGCGCGGTTGGCCCATAAGAGATCACAGTTGCATACTCTTGGGTTATGGACTCTTGGTTGAGGTGCTTTGGCAACGTCGTGGCACTGCGATGCGCTAGCGACTCGCGCTGCATACTTAGCACCCATAAGCGGTTCCGCTGATTCACCCCATGAAATCATTCGCATAACCTCTAGGCTCTATTGTTGGGTATGCCGGATGGCAATCAGAGTCTGCCCTGATTGTAGTCACGAGAAGCCATGAAAATACCCGCGTAGTTTCACTACTCTCTGAAGGTCATGGCGCCACACTGATGACAGCATGCCACAGCCCGCCCTCCGGTCCGGTCCCGTGGCAGGTCACCACCAGACCAACTTCTTTGCCACCAAATCGCGGCATGTTTACTGCTGAGGAGGTCATGTATACTCGCTACATCCTACTCAAAGTATGAAAGGCTATGGTTTGGCCGGACCAATAAAAAACTGCATCCGGCGCCGGGTCCTGCGTCATGGCAGCCACCATGATCAGTGTGTCTTTTTGGCCAGGGAGCCGCGCCATACTATACCACATGTAAGAGATGGTGCTCTGCTCCATCATTCTTGTCCAATGAGGATTCTCTTCCAGCATTTGATTTGTGCCACACGCAAGAGGTTCAGCAACACTTGCACGTGGCAGCCTCTCAGATTGCTTCCTTCAATTAATATTTCCTTGAAGCAGACTGAAGTCACGCCATACGATATGTTGAGTTGGCCTAATTGGGATGCGTGTACGTGTGTAGTTCAAGCCTAATCAGATGCACAGTGGTTTCCGGTGTGAACCACCATGCAAATGGCTCCTTCTCACTAGCATCACATGATCTCCAGATTGATTCACTTGCACTTTGTAAAATATGCACTGACATGTATACTACGCATGGGCATCACCATCCACAGGTGCTAGGTGTTACGTGACGTTACTGACATAACATTCTTAATTAGACTCAACACAAGGTGCAAAATCAATTTCCTGAGGTGTGCTGTATAATTGTGCACAGGGTCTGTGAAGGTACGGGGCACCTCACAGCATGGCCTACTGCAGAACTACCAGTTTCCGCTTCCGCTGGCAACAATACAGCCCATGCCCAGGCACCAGACGCAGCTATAAGGAGGATATAACATTTAATTATTATTATTTAAATTTTCTGAATATTTAACATTAGGTTATCTTCTTTGAATTTTCACTCGAGGAGATTGTGGAGAAATCAAGTGAAAAATTCAAAGAAGATAACCTAATGTTAAATATTCAGAAAACACAATATATTACAGTAACTAAAGCCGACTCCTCTTGGCGATCTGTCAAGCTGCTTGGCTCTTTGTTGGGGTCCGCAGAGGATATTCAGGCAAGAATAGGTGCTGCGAATAGAGCGTTCGGCTCCATTTCGTGGAAGCGTCATAAACTGAGCTCCAGACTTTGTATGTTCTCTGCCCTCATTTTGCCTATCCTGTTGTATAACTGCGGACTGTGGGCCCTGACACAGCAACTCAGTAATCGGCTGGACGCATGGCACCGCAGAAAATTGCGGTACCTGCTTGGTGTGGTGTACCCTCACCACATGTCGAATGCCAAGGTGTACGCCTCAACGCGACAAGGCCCAGTCAGCACTACCTGTCGCAGACGTCGGCTGCTCTGGCTGGGCCATGTTGTTCGCGAAGGACGTAACTCAGCGTCCTACCAAGCACTGGAGATGGCAATTAATACCCGGGACATCAAGCGCCCACGTGGCCGACCCCATCTCAGATGGATTGACAATATTAAAAGTGATCTAAAGCACGCCAATATTGATATTTCTGACTGTTTTGAACTGGCTCTAGACAAGAAAGAATGGCTGATGCTTGTGGAAAATGTGCTGCGCTTGCGTAGTTGTTCTTACTGCGATACGTTCTAACAATAATGAGATGCCTTTTGTCGGCTCTTCTGCCTGGATTTCGTTGACAGATGCGTTAAGCCCATGGATCCTTCCATGAGTGACATGCGAACTGTAACTATTATTATTATTTAAATTTTGAATAATACATGATATTATGTGCCTTATAACATGTTTGGCCAAGTCGAGTTTTAACGATTGCTTCAGGTGCTACCTGGCAAGGAGAATGTTATGGATAAACCAGATCCAAAGTTTAATGGGGGAAATAACCGGACCATGCTTCCCACAAAACATCATACATTATGCATCTGAGAGCTCATTATTATTATTATCACAGACCGTGACACCAAATCGTGGCCAAAGCTTGACATTCCATTTGTCACATCCATGTTATCTTTGTCGGTTAGTTCCCGATCACCTTGGGTCACAACACAGTTTGGAAAATCCTTCCGCTTCCAAGTAGGATATGAACGTGGTACCCGTCTCGTTTTTCAATCATGGTCTTTACCTCTTAGGCCAACCCGCTACGGTACCCGCTACTTGGAAACATACTTACCGGTATAAGTATAGCACCATAAAGTACCTTTGATCCCGCCCCCTCTCTAATTCCCGCCCCCTGTCGATTTTCTACCTGTGAAGCAATTTCGGCGTATACAACTAAATAAGATGTTGAACCGACGCTTGCACTGCTGTACACAATATGTGCCAATCCACGATGAAAATGTGCACAATTTAGCACATCGAGTCCGATCCTCCAAGTAATAGTTGTTGTACATCGTACTGCACTTGACAGCCTTGATCGAATTCCCGCCCCCTGCCGAAAAACCGGCTGGGAAGCGACATGGCGTGGGGGCGGATCAACGGTACTACATACAGAACATAGCCCCTCCCCTGTCCTGTAAGGCCCTGGCTTGATGGTGACCATTGGGTGCACATGTACTCTTCATATTTCCACAAGGCTTGGGCACATGGCATCTGCGAATGCAAAGTCACGCAACTACCTAGCGGAGAGCTGGTAATGCTGAGAGAATGACATGATCTGTTTGGAAAGGTTATAAAGTTCGGCAGAACCGTGCAAACTATATTTCTGGCGGACAAGTCGGTCAATTCTGCTCCTCTTTTTCAGGGGTCGTTGCAAAAGGTTATCAGTTTGTCGTCCCTGAAGCAACCATGATCATCCATTTCGTACTTTGACCCTATCCAAAAATGAACGCAGGTTGCTATGCTGGACAACGCAGGTTGCTATGCTGGACAACGCAACTCGCATGCATCCACATGTACAGTGTCGGTCGACATACAATCTTGGCTTGAACACCCTGCACCCTCCCCAATGAACGGTGTTCGTTTCAGGGACGACGAAGAATTTTGCGACAATCCCGCATCCATGTACATGACAATGAGTGAACCTTCCACAGTAACTGAGACCTGCACATTGGACACCCTGCCCTGTGCTACCCGGTCCTACGGCATACCGAATGTGTTGAACGTGCATGGGTCACCCTGTTTCTAGAGACCTCCTCAGTTCTAAGATCATCGTTTGGCCCCCTTCCCCCCCCCCCCCCCCGTGGGTGGTTGCTGAAACCAAGTTTCAAGTTCCCCTGTTACATGTACTGATAGTGGGGTAGATAGTTCTTGCACTGGGTAAATGGTCCTTATGCACGTTGTACAGATGTACGAAGTAAGTTCTGTACTAGGGCCGTAGGTATGTACATACTCGGTTGGGTGTTCAATGAGTGGTCATGTACATGCACATTTGACCCATTTAGCCTCATAAATCATGGCAAACAATCACTTTTCCAGCTTCTTCACTTTGGGATTGAACTAACGACTAGCTAGATCTCTGCCGGAAAAAGTGTTCGTATGAAATGCCTTCAGGGCCCATTTCATAGTGGAATAGCAGTAAACACAATACTAGGGTCCTGCACATTCAACATCCAACCCCCTGAACCGGGTCTACGGGATTCTACAAGATTCTACGGGATTTCGTGCATCTGTGCAACGTGCATAAGGCCTATTGATTGTGGCGGAGCGCAAATCAGTCCATTCCAGGAACACAATAGTATCAGTCATACAATAGAATCAGGTGGAAAGAAATACTGATATCCAAATAGAAGCCGAGCAGAGAATGCTCTGAAAACGGATACAGTTACAGATAGACTTCTTCGAAGTAGAAAACAGGCATGTAATGTCAAGCCATTGAAACCATAAAACCCATAGAAAGTTAGGAAGCGTGCGTGTTAGAAACCGTAGAAAGTTAGAAACTATACGGAAAAGATGATCCGAGTAAATATGTCACTGCTCTGTTGTTTGAAAAGTGATTCGATATAAAACCAGCATGAATGTGACGCGAAGAAGCTGATAGGACGAGGAAAGAAAGTGAGAGTAAACATTGTATATCCATTGTATTTGAGAGACAAGAAAGGGTTAGAGATGCGAGGTTTGCGTGTGTTTGTGTTAGCATGTACACTGATGAGCAGTCAGCTGATCGGAGCATCTGGTTACTTCGTCCGATTTGCCAGGGGAGAGAACAAGAATAAAAATCCTATCGGTGGTACGTTGCATCGTGGTGTTTCATCTATTGGAACCCACGCCTTGAAACGAGCACTGCAGACACGCTGTGCACCTGTTTCATTGGATATAGCAGAACGGTTAGGTCACATTCGTTGTGTCATAAACTTTTGGTACAAGTTAGTTCAGTGAGAAAGATTCCGTATTGTCGCAATAGGTCCGTCCGTCATGTGGATGAAACTCTAGTGCACGTCTGTGCTAAGTTCTCATTCCAAATATGGTCAAATCTGTTTCAAGTCAGTTTTTTGCAGTGAGTTGGAAAATGCCAGGGTCACTGAGCCCATTGTGATCCACAGATCAGAGACTCAACCAGCGTTGGACTCATCCGATGCCGGCAAATTCCACGTGCACAGTACCACAGGTGGTCAGCGAGCGACAGTTGCATCGTAACTAGAAGCCCTCGTCCCAGCCGCTGTGGTCGGGCGAGGTTGGCTTCACCTTGTTCTTGTCCTTCTGATCGAAGTTGCTGAGGTCGGTTTCGCTGCTGATGTTGGGCACGATGAGGGGCTCCATGGTCTGGCTGCGGAGGCTCAGCCAGTTGAAGTTCGAGAACCACTTGTGACTCTGGATGGCACCAATGCCACTGCCGCCGAGGCCTGCGCCGAGCCGCTTGGCCGGCTTCAGGCGGCACAGGCTCAGCACAAGAGACTTGGGAACGGCCGGGAAGCTGTCGGCCGGGAAGCGGGTAAGGTTGTCAAAGCCGCGCAGGACATTGCTGTACACTTCGACTTGCTTGTTGGACACGAACGGAGGCCAGCCGCTTAGGAGCTCGAAGATCAGGATGCCGACTGCCCAGATGTCAGCGGTGAAGGAGTGTCCCTTGTTGAGAATCACCTCCGGTGCAAGGTACTCCGGCGTACCACAGAACGTCCAGGTCTTGAACGCCGGGCCGTCCAGTCTCTTCGCAAAGCCAAAGTCCACCAGTTTGCAGTAGCCACGACTGTCCAACATCAGATTCTCCGGCTTCAGATCCCTACGGATACAAAGTAACAGCAAGAGAGGCAGACACAATAGGGGATGAAATTAATTCAGCATTTGGGATTCTTGGATGCGGCCAGTGAAGGGCTGGCTATCTGTCAAAATTGCAAAAAATTGTCCGCGCGACCTCAAGTGACACGAGCCATATTGCAGATGGCGAGTCTGGAGCCTCGGCATGGGGAAGCCACCGCTACGGCAATGGACGTTCCAGGTGTCCGTGTGTGTGTGTGTGTGCATGCGCGCACACTCACCTATAAACGATGTGACGACGGTGTAGATACGACAGTGCTTCGATGACACAGCCGGTGATGAACTGAGCTTCTGCGTCTGTCAGGCGGCCGCAATCTCTTAGGACACACCACATCTCCCCACCGAGGCAGGGCTCCATCAGCATGTACAGAAAGCTGGAGAAAGCATAAATGAACAAGACCACCACCACCAGCAACAACAACAACAACACGCACAGGCAGTGAGACAGAGGGAGAGAAAGAGACAACGACACGGAGTCCAAAACCAGCACGAGCAACTGCCATCATATCTCACACCAGTGTAGTTGGGTTGGTTATACTGCCTGTACACACTGCACGCCTTCTCAGAAAAAGGTTTAGGCATGAACTGGGATTTTGGCTACTTTGGGAGTGTCTCTTGTACTTTTCCCCAAAGTGAGCCAACTGAGTGAGGAACTTACCATGGATCTTTGAAGGTGCCGTACAGTCGAGCAATGAATGGGTGCTTTATGGATCTCTGCAGGTCCCTCTCGCGGAATACCTGGGCCTGCTGCTTGCGCTCGACGAGTTGTTTCTTGGCCAGGCACTTGAGTGCGTATGTTTTGGTGTCGTTGCCGATCATGTGAACCAACTCGACCCGGCCAAACCCACCTGCAGGACAGGAACAGTCAAGACCTCATGTCAAACCTTTACTTTACATGCAGCAAGCAACAGAAAACTGCAGCAGCAAACAGCAGCAGCAACGGCAGCAGCAGCAACAACAGCAAAAACCTCTCTAATTGGCTACTGGCCACATGGCGAGAATAATTTATAACAACAAGAGGAATACCAGTATGTGCAAACTGAAGACATGCTGCGCACATGCACCCCCCCCCCCCTCCCCCCTCCCCCAACACACCCACACACCACACACACACACGATCAGGTACATGTAGCTTTACTCTCTTACCTACTCCCAGTCGTCCAAGGATAACAAAGTCTTGCATGAGAAGATCTTCGTATGTGGGATCCACAGAATGAGATGAGGATGTTGTTGGCATTAAACCCATCCCATCCGCATCATAGATCGTGGAGACTGGCAGTGCGGACTCGTACTTCTTCTCCACCAGGCTCAAGGTCCGCTCGAACATTTTTCGCCCGAGAGCAAGCAGGACAATATCGGTAACAGCCTTGACGTCCGCCGTGCGTATGTCATCATGCAACAGAGCCGTTTCACCAAACGTGTCGCCTTGGCGCAGAGTGGCCACGAAAACCGGGTCTTTGCCTGCCGCGCCGGACTTGTTCTCCACGACAACCTCGCCCTCTTGTATGATGTAGAACGTCTCGCCAATTGCACCTTGCTGGAACACGTACTCTCCGGGCATGTACCGTTCCTCGGTCAGGGCGTCGACCAGCCGAAGCAGCTCCACCTCTTTATCTTTCAGGTGCGAGAAGAAGGAAATGTTTCGCACAAAGGACAAGGTCTTGCGCTGTCGCACCATGCCCGTCTTTAGCGTGATCATCTGGAACGTGCGCCGCTTGATTGACCAGACCTGGACGTCCTCTTTGTCTGTACCGTCATCGTCCGATTCTATAAGGTTGATGGTGGCTGTGCGCTGGCATCCATACAGAAGAGCAAGCTCTCCAAACACTACCCAACTGCCGAATGTTGCTATCGTACTTGTACCCGCTACCACTTCGAAGGTTCCATTATCAGCGCTGATGTACAATTTATCGCCTTGACTTCCTTCTTGGATGATAGTGTCACCAACTTTGTAACGGCCCACTTCCATGCTATCTACTATATCGCGAATCTGATGCACATCCAAGCTGCCTAGCATTGGGTTTCTGCGAATAGCATTCTCCAGGTTCGTTTTCGTCTCCTGGTCCTTTGTGACGTAGGTGATCTTGAAGTTCAGTACGGTTTCCGGGTCAAACAATTCTCCCGAAATACCCGCTTTGGCACTCTTGTCGTCCAGAGACCTGCCGATGGCTCCGCTCGTCCTCCTCACCCGTGGAGGCTTGTCTCCCGGTTTGGCCGGTGTATTTGATGCGGATTTGAGGAAGCTGGGCGGCTCCATGCTTTCTTTCAACTCCTCCAACTCTTCGCGGAGGGCTGCATTTTCTCTCTGTAAGAGAGTAGTCTTCAATCGTTCACCTTTGAGTTCATTTTCGAGAACCTCAATTCTTGCAGCCCTGGCGGCAAGTTCAGATTCCATTTCCGCTGTACACACTGTGGATTCCTCCCCGCAGTTTCAGGACCGGAGGTAAGTATTTCATTCAATTACTATGCGGAAACGTTGCAATTGGGAGGAAGTCCTTCAGCCCTGAACCACCCAAACCAAGTTTCACCCTCACTCGTCAAGAATGGCAACAGTCGACGGAAAAGGGTGAAAGTCGGCTAATGAGACTGAGTCAGCCAATAGGGAAAGCAAAGCTCGTTGTCGTGCCATTTGTGTGCCTCCACTGAACACTTCGTCCAACCAGGGCTATCAAAACGATCCCCTGTGTTCAACAACAGCCTACATTCCCAACAGGGCTTCAAAGTGTGACATCAGGTTTTTGACAACTTTACTTCGTTGTACAAACAACCATGCATGGCGTCCCCCAGCACGTGGTGTTCTGCATTGAAAGTACGGCTTGAAGTTGTACAGATTACAGTGCTAATGGAGAAATAGCGTCCCAAAAAACGTGTACAAAGAATCTGACATGTGTTGACTGTGATGTTTCGAGCATCGGGCAAACTGTACGAGGTCCCAAAGGACCCAAGCCAGTGCGTTTCCTTCCTGAAACAGTTCCACCCTGGATGACTATGCATGACTATGCGTTTCTTGATCTTCTTTTCAGGCTTCTTGATGCTCGGATTCCGAACAACACAGACAGTGCACTAGTGGGTACGGGGCCGGGGCAGGAATGGGGAAGGTGCGACCGCGGTGCGTCCTGAACTCCTGAAGGCTGATGGTCACACACACACACACCGGCAGCCGCAGTGTTGTTTTCGCCTAGGCTGCCGGAGTTGTACAACTACAACACCTCCAGGCAAGGAGAGCCTGGAGACTCCTTTGGTCTACTTTTTAAAAGTACTAGTACTTTTTCCACCAAGAGTCACATGAAACCAGCGGTCGGTAGGTTATGGTTATGGTGGATCATGGAAAGGCTTTTAATAGTATAAGGACCAACGCAGGACTCAGGTACTAGGTGTTTGTTCACCAGGCAGTATCACCATGTTTACCTGCACATGGACACCAAGTAAACCAAAACCAGGGGGAAAAGACCGTGGTAGACTCCCTAGTTTTCAGAAGTGTTAGGTACTGTGTACTGGTATGAAGGCTCAACCTCCCGGTGTAAGACATGTTATTATAACGAGTTGCAAATTTAACGATAGTTCAAAATCTATAGGTTAACGCACCTGCACCTATTCCGGAATTCAGTACTTTCATTTCTGGGGTACCTGTAAGAAAGAAGGCCTTAGTCCATTCATCGGAAACTGGCCCGCTGGCTTTTGAAAGTCAGATTTGGGCCGAATTGAGGATCAAAAACCCACTTTTATATCTCAAAAATCTGGGTTTTGGATCTGCTTCTCCATACATTTTGCCATGGCATACCTGTCCTAATTTTATAAAACCTGGCTGAATTTCTATTTCCCTGTTCTTGGACTTTTCTGGCCTCGAATGTGGCAAGGAGTAATTGCATGGGTCACACAATGCAGGATGTACTCTTGTTTTCACGATATCTACAACTATGTGAGAGAGACACCAAAAAGTTAGGGTGCCAGTTTCCAATGAATGGACTGTAGGCCTGTGGGGATTGCCCCATCAAAACGAAGGTCTCAATTTGCCAAACGAACCTTCTTCATCAAAACGAACGAAGGTGTCGAACTGGGATTCTCTTACCAGTTCACAGTTCCTCTTGAAGCACACTCTGTGCATGTGCCCTACAAACTACAGTGCGTATCGGTTATAGTGTGGTCGTATACAAGAATATACTGCTTACAAGAATGAACACTCATTTTTTCATAATCATAACACATATTTTATGTGTATGTTTATTCTTACAAGCAGTATTATCGCATAGTAGAATATATCGGCCCTAAGAATGGATTTTGTGTAGCAAAATATGCCAGATTAGTGCAAAGTGTATCGCCTGTAGTAATAACATCTGTGCTCTGTGCATACTCAATACAATAATATTCAACACAAAAGAGAGTTATGTCCAAGGCCGTATTGGAGAATCACTTTTTCTGTCCAGTCGGACTCTTTCCTCCGACTTCTCTCGCATCCGCTGCTCCGCAGTCGCCTAGTACGACCGCGAGTCTGATTGATCCGTGTGTATCATGTGTACGTGTCCACATGCCAAACGTGCGCGCATATGGTATGTCACACGTGATTTATCGCGTGTAAGAAATATCGGCAATAAGAATCAAATGTCGTTTTTCAAACACCCACGCTATAACCGATACCTACTGTACATGACTTTGCACATACATGTACTTGCTATGCAGTCACCACAGATGGCGGTCAGCCTTTGGGTCATCCTAATAAAGTTATTATTATTATCAAGAGTACATAACCGTTACACATGTGTAGTTATGTACTCTTGTTATTACAATTGGCACGCCCATAGCTTTTGCACTGCGCAGTTTGCAGCTCAAACTGCCCACGACTACTTATGCACACCGTGGCCGTGAATGGCCACGCTCAATGGCAGTCCGTGGCCTATTATGCACTTGCAATGGCACCTACGGGAGCCAAGTGGACACAAAACTAGTGTACTGTACAAACTACAGTACAGTACCTCCTGTATACAAGGAAGATCAGTGCATGTGTGTTCAGAAATCTTGTGTTAACCTTCTTTTGAAAACGAAGGTTCTTCGAACCTTTGACACCTTCGTTTCACCCCTGATTTTTTGATATAACGAGAAGATACATTGAAGGGGAACTTCACCCAAAAATCAAAACTTCTTGGTCCGTAGAGTTTCGGGCGCTGAGTCGAATGGTGAAAGTCCCCGTGACTTCGATCCGACCAAGCGCCGTTCTTGACTTGGGATATATCAGTTTGAAATTGTGACGTCTTTGAGATTTGGTGATCCTTTGGCCAGATCCAGAAACCGTGGGATTTCGCATCTTCTTTCTGTTTGTCCATGGAAAAAGAGGGTATTCGCTGCCATCATGGCTTGATAAACCCGGCTGCACAAGTTCCGAAGGAGTGTGCTTGGCACGGGCTGAGCAGTGCACCATAGCAGCTATCAAGCGACATACATGTACATGTATTTAGATGTTGCCGGCAGTCTTCAGGCCGATATCCCACATAACACATGTGACACCTTACGGCCTCAACAGAACGTATTATTAGGTACATTTTGTACTGAAGTAAAAGTGTGGAGGCTTCCTGCAGTTTCATAAACAGTTAAGAGTAGAGCCCACACGCTCTCTTCCATTAACACTGCAATAGTTCAACTCATTTCACAATAATTACATGTATTTCAACGTTTCGGCAAATTGCCTTCATCAGGTTCACACAATTTTGTACTGGGTGTATTTAAAAAACACACCGTGCCAGAAGTGTTAGGTTGTTGTATTCAATTCGCTCAGGACACAGGCAATACTGCCCTCTCACCGGAGAGAGGTACAGAGAAGGATGATGTGTGTTGGTGGTCGTGCGATGAATAGAATTAGAAGTACTAGTAGTACTACAATTTACTAGTACTACATGCTGTAGAAGTGTGTGTTGCTCCCTACACATTAGGGTCCGGCGGATTCTGCCGGCAGAAAAATTGGCAGAATTCGGTACTTTTTCTGGTAAGTTTCATGCATGTTTGGTATGTGGATAAAAAAATTGAGCAGATTTCGAGGAATTGCCCGCCATAAGGTTTGTATAGTTCTGCCAATTTCACGGCTTTTCGAGCAGAATCCGCCGGTCTCTACTACACATGCTGTAGGTAGGGAATCATAGATGCGCGAAGTTGCCAAGATACATGTGTAATAATAATAATAATAATCTTTATTTCGGGATTACCCAAAGGCTAACGCCTAGCTGGAGGATCTCCTATTTGTGTACATGTATGTAACTAACTAATACAGTTACTTAGGGGCCGTCCACAAATATCGAGTTTTTTTAGACGGAAGATATTCGTTCGTTTGTGAGGGAGGGGGTTTGGTCCCTGTTCGTCTCGTCCTTTTGAAAAAAATATCGATCTCTAACTTTGGGCGGGCACTTTGCAAACATGCAGTTGATGACCTACACTAAGTGAAAGTCAACCCCAAGAATACAGCCATGCCGGCAAGGTTGAGAGACTGGGGCAATGTAAAGCTAGGTGTATGGTGAATTTGGAGTTCCTGTTGGTCACGTTTCGCGAGGAGATTACACTTCATCATCTATGTGCCATGCGCTACTTGATGTACCAGCCTGCTATGCCGGATACCGCCAACCATACATCGACCAGGCGCCAGGCGCGAACTGATGGTGGTGGTGGTGGTGAGAAGGAGAGCTCTGTGCCAGAACTTTGCAGCCTAGAGAGCGTGTGTGGGCAGGCGTGTGTTTACCGCTATATTGCCAGGTGTGTCTTTACCACCATATTTATCAACCATAAGTACAGCTGCAGTGGTGTCTTCAATTTCATCCTCCCGAGTCAAGCTCCGTATGAAGACATCCAAGAAGAAGATTGCCTGATGAGTCCAGCGGGGACGAAACGTACGTCGCAATCGAGCTATGTCGTTGCTGTGTCATCTTCTATGTGCCATGCGCTACTTGATGTACCAGCCTGCTATGTCGGATACCGCCAACCATGCATCGACGAGGCGCCAGGCGCGAACTGATGGTGGTGGTGGTGAGAAGGAGAGCTCTGTGCCAGAACTTTGCAGCTTAGAGAGCGTGTGTGGGCAGGCGTGTGTTTACCGCCATATTGCCAGGTGTGTCTTTACCACCATATTTTATGAACCAGTGTCAGGTTATAATAATACCATGACCATGATGACTGTACATGTGTCCAAAATGAAAGACTGCAGGGAAAGATGCAAACGGGAAAAGTCTGTCACCACCACATCCTAGGCTACAGCAGATCCTGCGCGTACATTAATCCATAACCATGGTTACCGAATGTCACGGTCAACTACATGTGTATACAACTCAGTACCGCCTACCGGTATCCTGGCATTGGCAGCTATAGCATGATCCTCCGCCCTCCGGATCGTCGTGCATCCTCGTTTTGTTGACCACTGCAGTGGCCATGGTGGCAGTGACTACCAAAACTACAGCAAAAGTCTTTACCTGTGGCCTGTTGAACCTACATGTACATGTACATGTACATGTACAACAGCGCGTCAGCGGCATCACTGCATAGTATTACTAGTAGTTTTGAATTTGAGTCTCAAGTCAGAGCAATTATAGAGAAACGTTATTATTTTTACTTGAAGTACGACGCTTGTATTTAGAAAAGCGCCTGTCATTGAACTACTTCCAAAAGTTGTATCGACATCAACAGGATTACCATTTCAGTGAAATATGATGCAGGATGACCTTATCACAATAACCCATGATTATAAACCA